CGCCACTCCCGGTGCCTCGTGACTCGCGAGCGACACGGACGCGGGAGCAGTGCTCGGAACCCGCTATCGCTCGCTCCGGCGTCGCGCGTTGAGCGGTGACCTCCGTCCGCTGCGACGCAGACGCCGTGCGGCGACCGCTGGTTTGAAACGTGTCCACGATTTTGCAGCGCAGCCGTGGATTCTTGTGTCCATCTGTGCCGAGCTTTGGAGTGTCACCGCCTCGTGTACAGCGCCGGGTTTTCTCCGCGTCTCCTCTCTAAACGGAACCAAACCGATGGAATTCACGGCCAAAACGTATGTACAGTACATTGAACTTCTTTCACACCGTACGTAGCCAACCGTGCAAATGGGAGGTGTAGCGGGACCCTCCTGAGAAAGAGTGTCGAGACTCGGAAAGGCTTGCGCGTGTAATTAAAGAGCATTGTTATTACCATAGTAGTAGTAGTATCATCATTATGATTATTATTGATGAATGCGTCGGCTGCCCGCGAGTCTGTGTGATTTCGCGGCGTGCCGACGCTGGTGTAGCCGCACTGCTGAGCAAGCAGTCAAGAGGTTTTGCAGCAGCAGCAGCAGCTACTGAGACGGACCGTGTCCAGGGTTGAGGGTTCGGGGTCAGGGTAAAGTGTCGACGGGGCAGGGCCTCCTCTTTGGTGACTGCCGAGACTTAAAGGTCGCCGTTGCGTTCGCGTGTCGCTTATCGGCCAAACAATCGGCAGCAGAATTTGCGTCATAATTTGGATTTGTATGGCGTCTAAATGTAACCCTGCCTCGAGCGACTGCAATTTGCTTTGTCATATTTTTATTTTTTTAAAGATACATTCTTTTTCTCATTTCTCAACTTCACTCCCGACCGTGCTGTCGGCAGTCGTGTCACGAGGCGCGTCTTAGAGACGGGCCCGCGGGGAACGGCGTCGCAAAACTACTTCTGAAACCTCCCTCTGTGACCCCGTGACTCCGTAACTCTGTCACTTTGTGACCCCGTGACTCTGTGACCCCGTGACCACGTGACCCCGTGACCCTGTGACTTTGACTCTGTGACTCTGCGACTCTGTGAGCCAGGAGCAGCGCTCTCGCACGCGCTCTGCTAGGCAGACAGGTCCACACCGCATGGCACTCGCACCAAAGATTTGTAATTCATAGCGCTGGTGGTTTATAGGGGTTTTGTTTAGCTGGGGGGTTGTGGTGGCGGTGGCTCGGCTGCTCTGCACGTGGCTCCCTGTAACCCAGCACCGTGGAGGCAGCAGCAGCAGCAGCGAGGGGTCGGTGGATCACCGCAACGATGTTGTGAAATCCCTTCACCGTGGGCGTCGAGGTGGAGCCGTTCCCTGGCTCGCCAGGAGAAGGCGGCACAGCACAGCTGTGAGCTCCTCCACCTGTTCCGTCTGGACGAGATCGAGTGTTGCCCCCTCGCACGCGTGGGGTTTTCTCTGGCCGCTCCGTTCTCCTCCCACAATGTAAGCGCTCATTGATTTGGCCGATAACACCTTCGTATGTAGAGGATCGCAGAACTTGGACAATCGTCGGTAGCGCCGATTCACCCTTGGAGTTGCCGCCTTCTCGCTCACCTGCGGTTCCTCGTCGCGCCTCTGAACCCCGTGGAGAGCCAGGAGCGAGTCGAGTACTGCGGCGGTGGCAGCGTTACAATTTGACGTCATCATCATCACCATTCATGTTTCACCGACTTACGTGGCAAAACCAAATTGGTGGCCGGGCCCGGGACGATCGACCCGCCCGCCGCTCGTTCGAACTCGTTGGCGCCCGCTGGCCGAAACCCGGAGTCGCAACCGGGACCTCGGCGGTGGCGGCTCGGGCGGCCTGACCTCTGAACTGCGGCGGCAGTGGCCAGCAGCTCGCTAGACGAGGGGCGTGGGTCACGGCACGCCGCGGCCGTATCGCCGCCGCCGCCGATCCGCGGCCCCGTCCCACAGGGTCACCGGGGTCACTGCGAGATTTCGGTGTTCGTCTCATCCGGCGCGAACTCCGCCGCACCGCCCACCAACAGCGGCTCCTTCTGGAGGTGGGGGGGGGGGTGGATGCTTCATCCAGCAGTGGATTGATCATGGCTGATGCTGATTTACCGGACAGACCGCAGAAGGGATTTGAATTGCATCCACCCACACACCCACCCACACACCCATACCCACACACCCACACACCCACCCATACCCACCCACCCATACCCACACACCCACCCATACCCACACACCCACCCATACCCACCCACACACCCACCCATACCCACACACCCACACACCCACCCACCCACCCATACCCACCCACCCATACCCACACACCCACCCATACCCACACACCCACCCACACACCCATACCCACACACCCACACACCCACCCATACCCACCCACCCATACCCACACACCCACCCATACCCACACACCCACCCATACCCACCCACCCATACCCACACACCCACCCATACCCACCCACCCATACCCACACACCCACCCATACTCACACCCACCCACCCACATCCACCCATACCCACCCACCCATACTCACACCCATACCCACCTACCACCATAACTACCCATACCCAACAATACCCACCCACACTCACCGACACCCACCCACCTGCGTGTTTGGCGCCACTGTGGCAGTGAAACGTGCCTTTTGCGGGACATTCTGTCTCTGTGTTTGGTGACGGTCGATCGGCCTCGGCCCCCCTCTCCCGCGCGTCCCTCTGCGCTATCGGCGCTCACCCAACGCTGTCTCACGGGGCCATCGCTCCCCCCCCCCCCGCATCAGGATCTTGGCAATGCGTTCGCATTTCATCGCTGCCTGCGGTTTCTACCTCGAGCCTTCAGGTTGTTAAGCAATGCGTGGCCCTTGCTGCCCGTGCACTTTGTGTATTTATTGTCGCCCCCGGGCCGCGTGGTGAGACTGAGCGCTTCGAGCGCCCGCAGCTCCGAGCGGTACTCGCTCCACAGACCCTCCGAGACGACACGCCACTCTCCCCCCCCCCCCCCCCCCCCCCCGTGTTTAGTAACAGAATCAGAGTGAGCTACAAATCTCTTTTTCACAGATGTCCAGTCGGGGCACGGGGCAACGACTCGCGGCCACCTCGCCCAAAACAACTCCCCGATTATTATCCCTCGATGACTCCAAATCCCCTTCTCGCCCCCCCTCCCTTCCCCGTCACGAACTCTTCCCGACTACCCGGCCCATTCATCATCACGCTTGCCCATCATTAACAGCTCACTGTCACGTTCGTCATCGTTTATTTCACGTATCATCAACGTATTCATCACACGCTGCAATCCTCATCAGCTCGTCTCATCCCACCGCACTATACTTGCTCTAAAAATAGTTAATTCTCTGTTCAGAGCCTTATTGCATGCGCTATATCAACTGAAGTTGAAGATAAGATCTCCATAAACGGCTTAACTGGCCAGACAAATGGTCGCTTTTATAGTTCCGTCCCGTCGTGTAAAATTGACGGGCTTGGTAGTGACGAGTCTGTGGTGTGTGGGACACTGCGTTTGTGGGGGAGCGGTGGGGGAGCGGTTAGCGCTGCGCCCCGCTACCAACCCGACGAGCCGAGTTCGATTCCCGCTCACGGTCAACACCGGTGACGATTATCTGGACCGGTAGTGGGCCTCCCCTAGGTCGACTCGGCGTTAAATGAATATATTCGGTGCATTGTGTAAATAACAGCGCTGGGAAGACAAAGGCGGCTCGGTGTAATTTTGCCCCCCCCCCTCCCTCATGTGCGCGCCGACCATCATCGGTGCTCGCCAACAGCACTTGCCCCTACAGCCTGTTAAGGCTGTTTGGGGGATCTTTGTCTTCGTTCTGTAAGCATGCGTCTGCGAGTTTAACACGAAGGCTTTCGCGACAAATGTCATCACGGATGTGTCTGTGAGTCAGCGAGTGGCTGTACGTTGTAGTTTGTTTACAGCATGAGCGGAATATAATATCTAAACCTGTCACGGGCCTCCCCTAGGTCGACTCAACATTAAATGCGTAGCTTGTACAGTACGCAGACAACACCGCTGGGGAGACAAAGAGGGCCGGGTATGGCTCTGGCCACCCGCGGCAGCCTTAATAGGTGCTCACTAACAGCACTCGTCCCTGTAGTGTGTAAGGCTAGACGCGGCTATATTTGTCTCTCACCACAAACACGCCCTCCGTGTGTGTGTGTGTGCTTGTGTGAGCCTCACGCGCTCAGTCCTCCGCCCATGTTGAGGACTCCAGCCACTGACTGTCACATCCACGCTGCGTCCACCGCACCGCGTTCAGTCGACACTGCAAGTCACAACAACTCGCTCGCTCGCTCACTCACCAACTCACACACTCGCTCACTCACCTACTCACACACTCGCTCACTCAACGACTCACACACTCGCACACTCACCTACTCACACACTCACACACTCACCGACTCACACACTCACACACTCACCGACTCACACACTCACACACTCACCGACTCACACACTCACCTACTCACACACTCACACACTCACCTACTCACACACTCGCTCACTCACCTACTCACACACTCGGTCACTCACCTACTCACACACTCACCTACTCACACACTCACACACTCGCTCACTCACCGACTCACACACTCGCACACTCACCTACTCACACACTCACACACTCACCGACTCACACACTCACACACTCACCGACTCACACACTCACACACTCACCGACTCACACACTCACCTACTCACACACTCACACACTCACCTACTCACACACTCGCTCATACGCTCACTCGCTGAATCGCCACACTGCCGGCCACTGCTCCACTGTGGAACTGCCTGCTCCCATCATCATCACCGCCTCTATCGTCCCTGTCTATTACAACAATGATGGTGCTGTTTGTGGCTGGCCGTTTGAAGTGTCGCTCCCTTGGTGCCTGTGTTCAGCAACTGTGATTTTAGAAGACACACACACACAACGTGTGTATATATATAAATATTTGCTTCTTCTCCTCTGATTTGTATTTGCTCTGCTCTCTCCCCAGGGCCATCTCTTTCACACCGCGGTGGGTGCGGCCGTCACCGGCCTGGAACTCAAAAAACCTCCTCGGTGCCGCCTGAAGCATCCGTCACCGCACGAGGGTGCGGCGGTAGCGGCGGCAGTAACGGCGGTGGCGGCGGTGGCGGCGGTGGCGGCGGTTCGGTGATCGGCGGCTCTCAAGGACGGACCGAGAGAGACCCGGCCGGTGGCCACGCACGCCGGCGGCCTCCCAGCGCTGCCCTTTGACCCGGCCCTCTCTTTAACCTGCGCGGGCGGCTTGGGGCAGCGCCTGCCGCCAGCGTCTCCCCTGCCGCGTTCGGCCTCCGCAACATCGCCCGCCCGCCCTCCCCTGCCCCCCCTCCCCTGCCTGCGTGCCCCCCAGCCCGGCACGACGATGAGTGAGTTCTGGCTCTGCTTCAACTGCTGCGTGGCGGAGCAGCCGCAGCCGGTGAGTTACTCGTCACGAGTACACCGCGTGGATCGTTGATGCGAGCGAGTGTCTGCGTGTGTATGTGTGTGTGTGTGTCTGTGTGTGTGTCTGTGCGTCTTTGTGTGGCTGTGTGTGTCTTTGTTTTTGTGTGTGTGTGTCTGTGTGTTTGTTTGTGTCTTTGTGTGTCTCTGTGTCTGTGTGTGTCTGTGTGCTTCTCTGTGTGTTTGTGTGTATCTATGTGGTGTGTGTGTGTGTGCCTGTGTGTGTGTCTGTGTGGTGTGTACGGTGTGGAGGAGTGGTGTTGTAGTGGTTAGCACTCCGTGTGTGCGAGTGTAAGTGTTCACTAGCAGCGCTTTCCCCAACAGTCTGGTCAAGCTATACGGGGGATTTGTTGTATTTGTGTGTAGTGTGGGGAGTGGTGGCGCAGTGGTTAGCGCACTGTGTGTGTGTGGGGAGCGGTGGCGCAGTGGTTAGCGCACTGTGTGTGTGGGGGAGCGGTGGCGCAGCGGTTAGCGCACTGCTCTATGGACCCGGCACCGAGCCGCGACCAACATCGGTGACGAACACTTGAACCGGTCCTGTGCCTCCCCCTAGGTCGACTCGGCCTCAAATGATTACCCGGTGCCTTGTTTAAAAACATCGGCTCACCGTGCCGTTGGTAACATGACCCCTTCGTGAGTCAACCCGGCGTTAATAGGTGCGCAGGAACTTTCCCCAACTCTGTGGCTGGCTCTAAGGCTATACGGGCGATCTTTGTCTTGTGCGTGTGTTGGCGTTGGTGGGAGTGGTGGCGCAGCGGTCGGGATATTCGATTACAAACCTTTGGACCCGACTCAGAGTCCGATGCACGCGACCAGAAGCGATTTGTGTGTTAGCCTGCCCCGTGCCCCCCGGGGCGGCAGGGATCATCTGCTCGCTCGCGGCGCTTGCTCGATGGCGTCGAGAGCCGTCCGAGCGGTAACGAGGGTTGTGCGCGATGGATTCTCACCGCGCGCCTTTCGCCCGCCCCGCTATCGCGGTGGGGGGGGGGGAGCGACGTTGCCACGTGGTTTGACCTCCAATTTCGTGCCAAATTCGAACCGCGACACCGGCGCGCAATAACGCCACCAGAGCTTCCGACGAACGCCGCGGACCGGGACGGAAAACAGTCTAAGATGAGAGCGCCGCCACCGAAGTGTTAACCAGGGCGGCCGCGGGGGCGCCAACCGCGGACCCCCGGCCGCGTCACCGCCCCGGCACGAGCGGCCGCAGCCAACCCGCCCGGCCCTGCGTTGCGTCTGCCGTGTCCTCCGGCGAGAATTTTGAATTCTTTGTGTTTTTTTTCGTTCTGCCTGCCAACGTAACGACGATAGATCCTCCCGGGCGTGAATTCCGCAACGCCCACGAACGCCGTGAACGTGGTTTCTTCGTTGTAGACCCCCCCCCACTCTCTCTCCCCGTTCCCTGGTCGCTGGGACGCTGCGCCGGGCGAGGCCCAGCGCCGAGCCTTCCCTGCGGCGCTCCGTGTTGACCGCTCCTCCCCGCGAGGGATTCCGTGTCCGTCCGTTGTGTCGCGAACCCGCAGGGCTGTAGAGCTCCAGCGAGGTTTTGCGCCGGTATTGGAGCTTGCAAATTCGAAATAATAATAATGATTATAGAATAATCCCATCGTAATAATATTTGCATTCACACGGCAACACTTGCTAAAATGCCTCGGCAACTCTTAAGCGCCGTCCATCCCATTTCTTCTCAAGCATTTGAAGGGTACCCTTTAGCGTCCACTGCGAAGTGGCCAGTCGCGTATCTGTAGCGAGTCTGCACCGCCGTATTAACCAGGGCGGCCGACCGGAATCGAACCGCGAACCTCGTACGCTGTGTGCCGTAACACGCGGTGGAAATGCTGTTACCTGCCGGGCCGCGTCACCGCCGGTCCATCGATCGCGATTCCTGCGATTCCCACGATCGCGATTCTCGCGTCGGAAGAGTTTGCGCGACGACCGACGGCTGGCGATATCTGCGATCCGTACATCCCCGTGACGTGCGCGGTGGTCGAGCGTGCGCGGCAGCAGGGCGCACGGGGACAGAATAAACGAGAAACTACACGAGCGTGGCAGTGGAAATTGGAGATTGAACACCCGTTGAGTAGTGATGATAATGATGATGAGTTTAGGACATCTCGCGTAGGTGGGATGTGCTCGGCCAAGGCACGTTCTGAGCTCTCGCACCTTGGTGGCACTCGCAGGACGTTCCGAGGGACAGGCCGACGATGTGAATGGCTGAGTGGGTGAGCGAGCAGGCGGGTGAGTGAGTGACCGGGAGGGTGGACGAGTGGGTGAGCGTATGAGTGGGTGATTGAGTGGGTTAGTTGGCAGGTGAGCTACGAGCCGTGGCCGGTGGTTCCACCGGCGGTGCCGCTCTCGCGTTCTTTGTCTCCGCGTCGTGACGCTCGCCGTCGCTTTGTGTTTTCATTCGGCGGCGCGCAGAAGCGGCGGCGGCGAATCGACCGCTCCATGATCGGCGAGCCGACCAACTTCGTGCACACGGCGCACGTGGGCTCGGGGGACATGTACAACGGGGGCAACACCTCGGTACGCACGCACACACACGCACGCACACGCACACACGCACGTACACGGGCACACACACGCACCCACACACACGCACACACACGCACGCACACACACGCACACACACGCACCCACACGGGCACCCACACGCACGCACGTACCCACACGCACACACATATGGACATGCACGTATGCAAATGCACAAAAGACAAAGAACCCCCGTATAGCCTTAACAGACTGTTGGGGCAAATGCTGTTTGCGAGTACCTATTAAGGCCGGCACTGCACACGAGGGGGTGGGTGGCCAGCACCACGCCCGGCCGCCTTTGTCTCCCCAGTGGCGATGTTTACACACTACACCAGGTACTCATTTGACGCTGAGTCGACCTAGGGGAGGCCCATGACCAGTTCAGATATAATCGTCGCTGATGTTGGCTGTGAGCGGGAATCGAACTCGGGTCGCCGGTAGCTGTGCACGTTTGGACAGGGCTGTTACTGAGTACCTGTGGAGGCTGGCATGGCACACGAGGGGGTGGCCGGCCAGCACCACGCCCGGCCGCCTTTGTCTCCCCAGTGGCGTGGGGTGTTTAACACCCCACGACAGGCGCTACATTTACGGCTGATGCGAGCTCGGGAAGTCCCAGATGTCGCACTGCCACGCAAGCATGCACCTGCATGGACTTGTCCACACACCAGCATTTAATCATTCTCAAACACACACAAAGATCAAGTCCCCCCCCCCCCCCCGCCCATATAGCCTACACAGGTGGTTGGGACAAGCGCTGTTAGCGAGTAGCACTCATTTAGGCCGGCACGGCACGCGGGGCGATGGCGTGGCCGCCACCACGCCCGGCCGCCTTTGTCTCGGTGATTTGGTCACGAGCGGGAATAGAACTTCAGCCCGTCGGGTTTATAGCGCATGGCACTAACCGCCGCCGCACTACCACTCCCCCTAGATACATACCTACACACGCGTGGACACACATCTGTACACACACACACACGCTGCAAACCTTGACTGTGACTGTTGGAATGTTTAACGCGCGCGTAACCACATTTCTCAAAATTACAAACTCCACCCTGCAGTCGTTTGGCAAAGTGTTAATGAATGCAAAGTTCGACTGCGCCCTCACCCAGAGGAGCAAAGTCCACAACCCACTCTCTCTCAACAACCGCATCCACTCCTCCCGCTCAGTGGAGTCCGTTCTGCCAGCAGTGGCATTATTAGCAAGCTCTCGCAGGACTGCGCCTTGTACGATACTCTCAGTCCGATATGCGGGGCGGACTATAGGGACTCGAACCCGTTTCAAGCAGCACTGCATCATGGGTACTCTCCCATAATGCTCCACTGCATCGTGGGTACTCTCCCATAATGCTTCACTGCATCGTGGGTACTCTCCCATAATGCTTCACTGCATCGTGGGTACTCTCCCATAATGCTTCATTGCATCATTGGTACTCTCCCATAATGCTTCACTGCATCGTGGGTACTCTCCCATAATGCTTCACTGCATCGTGGGTACTCTCCCATAATGCTTCACTGCATCATTGGTACTCTCCCACAATGCCTCACTGAGGATGTTGACCTTTGCCCCCCCTCGCGTGGCCCCCCTCAGGGCGGGATGATCCAGCAGCAGATGCAGTCCAAGGGCGGCTACGGGAACGGGCGGCCGGCGAGTGACCCCCCCTCAGGGCCCCCGCTCGTCGACACCAAGGCGGGATAGCGGTCGCCACCGCCCCCCCCCCCCCCCCACTGGACCCAGCGGCAGCCCCCCCCCCCCACCCGCTGGGTCTCCGCGAGCCGCGTCCCCCCGCGGAGTGAGTATCGCACGCAACCGCCACCTGCGGCGTCGTCATCGCTGTCCCCGTTGACCATCGTCGTCGTCATTAGTATCGTCATCAATACCATCGGCATCATCATCGTTGCTAATGCTATGATCATCATAATGTTCATTGTTATCACCATCATCATCGTCCCTATCATTGTTATCATTATCATCATTTTCATCGTTATCATAAGTGTATTGCCATCATTGTCATTATTGTCACCATAATCATGATTATCACCTCTTATCATCGCTATCATCGTCGTTGTCATCATCGTCACGTTCCTCCTCGGTGAGCTCGGCGAGGTCGGTGTGGGCGAGCTGGCGAGTGGCGCCGTGACGTCGCCAGTGGCTCGCTCCGCACGGTCCCCTGACTCGCTCCGCACGGTCCCCTGACTCACTCCGCACGGTCCCCTGACTCGCTCCGCACGTCCCCTGACTCACTCTGCACGGTCCCCTGGCTCGTGCCGGTGGCCCAGGCTCGGCGCTCCGACGTGGCAGAGCCGTCGCCCATGGCCCTGCAGGCGAGGCCGGGGTGGCAGCGCCGTCCTAGCGCTTGTGCCTGGGCCCCATTCCTGACTCGGGCCCCTTTCTCCGTGGAGTCTGTGTGTTCTCTCTCTCCCCCGCAATTCTGCATGGATTTTCTCGGCCTTCTCCGGTTTCTTCCCGTAGCTAAAAGAGACCCCATATCATGCAACGGGTATTGGCCAAACGTCCCCCATTGTATGTACGTATATACGGTGAACTTATGTCGCGCCGTACGTAGCCACCCGGCACTAATCGGAGGTGTGTAGCCAACCGTGCGATGCCGAAACATTACCCCCCTTGCCCCCCCCCCCCCACGATTATTTCGTGAGAGTTACACGTGGCCAGCGGTCATTGCCCCCTGCTCGCAGACTTGACGCCCGATTGCAGGCCAGGTGCCCGAGTCACCTTACGGCGCGGGGGGGGGGGGGCAGCTGCCGCCAGGGGCGCCCCTTTCAGAGTTGGTCGAGACGGGCGCGCATGAATCGGGGGGGGGGGGGAGCGGGGGGGTGCGGCGCTACCGACCACAAAGTAAATAAGCCGGATGATTCGTCTCCCTCTCGCTGCGCCGTCCGTCCTCGCGGCTAAAGTGCAAAAGTATTTCTCGCGCAACGCATCGGTGCCCCCACGGCCTTCTGGGAGTGCCATAATGTAGTTAATTAATTAATTGTATTTATGGGAGATATATTTTTTTTATTTTGAACCAAACCCCCCCCCCCCCCCCCCAAAAAAAAAAACCAGGCTGGAACAATGTTGCTTATTTATTGACTTGCTCCATACGCTTGCCTGCGCTGCCACGCGTTCGGATTAGATCGCAGTCGCAGCAGCCATGCGGCGTCGCGATCGCCGCGAGCCGTGCCGTCGTTACACAACAACGCCACGGCCTGCCGCCCCCGTGACCCCCCCGCGCCGCCACCACCACAACAACTAATAAACCAACCCCCCCTAGTCCCCCCCCCCGAAACACACCAGCCCCCCCACCACAACAACAACTACTCCCCTCTCACCCCAGTCAGGCCCGACTCAGAGAGAGAGACTAGGGAGAGAGAGAGAGAGAGTGGCTCACAGAGAGAGAGACGCAAGAGAGAGAAAGAGAGACCGTGCGAGTGACAGAGCAAGTGAGAGGGCGAGTGACAGAGCAAGTGAGAGGGCGAGTGAGCGAGGGTTGCTATATTGCTGAAGCGCTCTTGCTGTGCCTGAACAATCTCGACACAAACAACCACTCGTGACGCTCTTAATAATAATCGCTTTAATAATTTAAATTTTCTGCCGTTTGGGGAGGGGGACCCCGTTTAGCTTCGCGCGTGGAATCGTCATGCGGAGAATGTAACCGCAGCGTGACGGCAAAACAGCCCAGGCAGCCCCCCCCCCCCGAAAGGGAAAACAGAAGTGGGGCCAACACTGCGCCCAGCCACCAGGATTACGCGTAGAGTTGCGCAGAGACGTGCAGAGACGTACAGAGACGTGCAGAGATGTGCAGAGACGCACAGAGATGCAGAGACACACAGAGATGCACAGCGAGATGCAGAGACGCGCAGAGATGTGCAGAGATGCAGAGATGTGTAGAGACGCACAGAGACCCACAGATAGATGCAGAGATGTGCAGAGACACACAGGGAGACACAGAGACGCACAGAGACACACAGAGATACAGAGATGCACAGAGACCCACAGAGACGCACAGAGACACACAGATGCACAGAGACACACAGAGACGCACAGAGACACACAGAGATGCAGAGACACACAGAGACAGAGATGCGCAGCATCCTGAGCAGCTCGTGGCGGCGAGCCCGAGCACGGAGCCGGCACCACCGAGAGCCTGAGTTCAAATCCAGGATCCAGCCACTGCCCTTGGTTAAACGGCGGTCCTCAAGCGAGTTCATGGTCCCAGCCCGGTCGCCAGTGACATTTGTCTAAATGCCAGCTCGGAGAATGAAAGAGACGCGGGTGCCACGCGACGAACATTCCTCTCATCGCGGGGGCCGGTGCTGTCCCCTACTGTGTGCGGAGCGAAGTTTCAGCACGGAGAAGGGACCTCGGAGGCAGCTCTGTGATGTCCACTTCCGCGGGGCCGTCCTCCTGCACGAAGGGTCGTGATGATGATTGCTTGTGTTGCAATCGAAACGTCGCGAGAATTTTATTGTTTTATTTTTATTATTTCCCTTCTACCTGACTTTAACGAAAGAACCAAACATATGAATCCCTGCAGTCACGGAAGCTTTAAATCGAAATTGAAACTGAACTATTTACACGATTTTTTTCATTATTTTGCCAGTAAATGCCCCACTGAGCTGTGTAGCTCTTCTTCAGAAGCGACCTGTCTATCACAAATGAGAGCTCAACGAAGTGGATTAGCATCATCATCATCAAGTGGACATTTAATGCAGCCAAATACTCTGAACGCCATGATGTTGATTCTAAATGTGGAGGTAAAAACCGGAGAACCCCGACAGAAATCCATGTAACCACGGGGAGGACACGCAAACTCCGGATATACAGCAGGCATCAGGTTCGGGATCGATCCCACGACCTCTCGTATACCAGGCGAGGAAGTTAACATCTCCCAGCCACCGTTGTACCCCCCAATATCGGAGACTCCAGACGAAACCCAACGTGCAAGCAAGGGGGGGGGGGGGTGCGGGGGGGGGCGGGGCTCAGGGGGGACACTCGACTACAACACCTGGCAAGCCCCACACCGACTACAACACCTGGCAAGCCCTGGTGGCGGTGGTCACATAGAGATTTGCGCATTTGTTCAGCGCAGTTGGTGGGCGCAGGCCCCAAAGACCGAAAACGTCAAGTGGCCAGCAACGAGCAGCACCGCCGTTCTAATAGATAGGAGTGGATGGACGCGTGAGTTGAAGCGAGCAAGGTTTTTGCCGTTAAGAGAGCTTTGGGGTCGTGGTGGGAGAAGTGAGGTGACCTGCAGTGTGGTGGTTAGGTGGGTGGGTGGGTGAGTGGGTGGGTGAGTGGGTGGGTGGGTGAGTGGGTGGGTGGGTGAGTGGGTGAGTGGGTGCGTGGGTGGGTAGGTGAGTGAGTGGGTGAGTGGGTGAGTGAGTGGGTAAGTTGTTGTCTGGTGGTTGAACGCACTTCTCTTGCTACATCTCTCTCGCAGGTTCCCCGTTTAGCTCGTGTGGACGTGTCCGCGTGTCCGCTTGTCCGTGCACGCGCCCTTCCCTGCGCTGCGCCGACTCGGGCCCCTCCGGACTCGCCGGCAATGGGCAATGGACGAGATCGCACTCGGAGGGATCGTCAGCAGTGGCGGTGCGGAGTGAGCGCCGGCGCCGCTCTCCCCTTGGCTGTCTCGGGACGAAGAGGCAGAGGACGGAGAGAGGGAACGGACGAAGACGAGAGCGAGCGCCCGCCCGACGGTTACGATCGGCAACACGCGACGGACGAGCCAGCGCCACCCCCCACCGCCACTGACACGGCACCACGATCCTGCGGGCGGCGCAGGCCGGGCGGCTCGCCACACAGCGCCGATGCCACCGAATTGAAGCCGGCACCGTTCTGCCGGAGGTGGCCGGTAGAACGGTGCCGGGGAAGAGCACAACGACTAGCGGGCGCCGTCGCTCATTCAACCGACGGCGCACGAAGCGAGAACAAAAGTCCGAACCAAGAATAAAAGCTTATTTTTCTTACTTTGTAAATTAAAGTTATTGCTTTGAGGTTGTTCCGCGGAGGGAGGCAGTGAGAGGCCGTGGAGTCGAAGCCAGGATTTTGGGGGCCTTGGCTGTGACACGCGCTCGGGGGCAGCTGCTCTCTCCGGATCTGCTCGCCCGCCTGCCCGCTCGCGGCGATCAACTCGGCGCACGCTGCTGCCACCGCACGGCGCTTTCTGTCCGCGTCGTCTCCTGCCGCGTGCGCGCCGCCACGAGGGCGGCCCCCACGAGTCGGCCGACATCGATCAAAACAAAACCTCGGCGATGGCGGCGACGAGACGCACACAAAGTGGGGACGCACAAGCGGCGGGCGAGCGGTGCCGCGCCGCGCGCTCCGCCCGGCCGTTCAAGGACTGGCGAGCGCGCCAACGAACAAAATCGACGGGGCGATGGGATGGACGGACGATCGAGCTCGGCTCTGCGCCGCCCCTGGACGCCCGGTCGTGACGTCGCCGCCGGCCCTCGCCCGGAGATTCGGACGCCGCAGACAGAGATTGGACTGACGGGGTCGCGCTCTCGTCGGCGGGCGGTGACCGTGTCCTGCTGTGCGCTTGTGGACGTGCGTGTCCATCCATTCATCCGTGCGCGTGTCTGTAGACCAGGAGGTGGGGAACCTCATACTCGCTGAGGGCCGAATAGGACAAATTACAATTGGTGGGCCACACGTTTAACACTCTGGCCACTTCTATCGCTGCGGGAGGCCCCTGCGGAGACAGAAGTTTCAAGAATCAAGTTGATTTTGTTGAACCGGGTTGAGAACTCAAGGGACCAGGGTACATGTCTCAATTAGCAAGAGTGAGTGACTGAGCCGGGTCTCTGAAATCACAAAAGCAATAACATTCAAAAACTTGGCAGAACAATGAAGCAAATAGGCTTCGGAGCAAAAACAAACAAAATATAAATCGGAGCACAAGCAACTGCGCTACAGACGAAATCAACAAACAGTCACGCGAACACGATGAACATCGCATTATAAATACATTTTCCAGTCACGAAAATTGGCACGGCCCGAATTACTTTCACAAACCGTCCAGAGTACAGTCGGGTTTCATCCGCGACTCGGCGCGTTGTCGCCACGTAAAAAAATATCCTCCCCTCTAGTCCACGATCAGCGTGGCTCAGAGGCTCCCTGGCAGGGGTGGACAAACATCGTTTGTGGGCCTCCCGAGCGACGGTGGCGGTGGGAGGCCTCGTGTGGCCGTGGGCTACCGTGTGAGATGAAGCGGCAGGCCGCGTCTGGTCCGTTTCTGGGCCGCGCTGCGGTCGGTTTAACCCCGAGGCGGTCGGTTTAACCCCGCGGCACGGCAGTCACTTGGAATTTTCTCCGTCTTGTTTTTGCAAACCGATTTCTCCACCGATGTTGGAACGTATTCATTCATTATATAGCTCATTCACTGAAAAGTCACCATCCCCTACTGCCCCCATAGCGTATTTGCGCCTGCCACATGCTCGCGTGTGCGTCTTCATCATCGCACGTCACGGGGTACTGTGACAAAGACACGCGGACACATACACACAACGACGCGTGTGTGTGTGTGCGTCACTGCCACTCTGGCGCAGGCGGCCCCTCTGGGTGGCCCCGCTCGCTGGGGACGAGTGGTGGACAGCGGTCGGTACAAGATTTGGTGTGTGCCGAGACTGGTGTAAATTCCACGGTGCCGTGGCAGGGACCCGTCTCCCCGTAGGACAACGGCCGTTGACGTCGCTCTTCAGTGGTGCAGCCGCTGGTCAGCGGTGCTCGTTTTACCGACCCTGGACGACGACGACGGTGATGGTAATGATTGTAACCTCGGCTGGGATTTTAACTCGTGACCTCAGACATGGAGAGAGAGCCCCCTGGGGGCTCAACCGCGGCCATTCCAGCCATGTACGATCGACGCTCGGCGGTGCAGAGCATCACCGCTCATTTACCCAGAGGGCAATCCTCACCGTCCCTTCAGCGGGGCTTCTTCATTGAGATGCTTGGCCATGAATCCCATTGATGATGAGCGCTTGGCATCGTGCCGGGAGGAGACCCCGGAACGAACACCGCGAGCGGGAGACGCTCGCCGCTGCACGCCTACGACACCTCGCAAGCCTCCTCGGTGCAGGCAGTCCACCCATACAAGTGACTAACCTGGGCTCTCAAAAAAAGCCCTCCTCAGTTTACGATAGATATTTACCAGGTCGGGCGGACACATTCCGGTAATGGCCCATAAAAGGCAATTCAAGTCGACGCACTGTGTACACTTTATCGGCAGCGGGCCAGTTGCGGTGCGTTTCGTCCACGTCGCCCGCGCGTGGACCACGTGTGCGGGGCCCCATCGTCGCTCGGTCTCCCCATGTCGCACGCTCGCCCGGGGAGTACTCGCGCCGCGCGACGCACGCGGTGACTTCAATGCACCCCGGTGGCCGTCGCGAGGGCTCGTTGAGCCACGCGATGGCTCGGGGAACAACCAATTCCCACCCCCGACCCTCACCCCATCTCCACCACCACCCTCACCCCCGACCCTCACCCCATCTCCACCACCATCACCCCCACCCTCGACCCTCACCCCATCACAACCACCACCCCCACCCAGGTGAGTGGCTGGACGCCACGCCGGTGCGATCACAACCCAGCGCCACTCACGCGTCTTAATTCTCGTGGTCTGGGGAAACGTTGTCTTAATGATGACGAATCAAGTATTATTATTGTTGTTTGTTTATTATTGTTGCTGTCGTAAGATTATTTGAGTGGTGTATGCGCTCTCAAAATGATTATTTTGCACTGATGTCGCATGAAACTCCGTGTGTCTGTGCGTGCGTACGTGAGTGCGTGTGTGTGTGTGGGGAGTGGCAGTGTCGCGGTTAGCGCTACGCTGCGCTACGAACCTGGCTACCCAAGTTCGATTTCCGCTCACGGGGCAACACCCGTGTGACGATTGTCTGGACCAGTCCCGGGCGTGCGAACGTCGCCACTGCGGAGGCAAATGCGGCCGTGCGCGGTGATGGCCACCCACACCCTCGTGTCAGCCCCAACAGGAGGACACGAGGGTGATGGGACACGGGGGTGATGGCCACCCACACCCTCGTGTCAGCCCCAACAGGGGGACACGGGGTGATGGCCACCCACACCCTCGTGTGCCCCAACAGGGGGACACGGGGGTGATGGCCACCCACACCCTCGCGTCAGCCCCAACAGGGGGACACGGGGGTGATGGCCACCCACACCCTCGTGTCAGCCCCAACAGCCCCTCGAGGCGACACGGGGGACACGGGGGGTCTGTGCGCGTGTCGGGGTCCCGATCCTCTCGCCCCGGGCCCTGGGACCCTCCCGCCGGGTCCCGCTCTGCCTCAAAGGCCGCCCCCCCCCCCAACCCCACGGTGGGGGCCGCTGGCCACACCGCCCCCTCTTGGGAGCCGTGCCAAGCTCCCTAAGAGGTGCTCGCTAACAAAGCGCGTGGAAAGAAACAATTCCAGGAGGTGTGGGAACGACCCGTCGGTGTCGATTCTCTTGAACGTGTTCCCCCCCAACCCTCCCTCCCTCCCCCACCGCCAACGAAGCAATTCCATTGGTTATCATTGTTCTTACCCCGTTCATAGATTTCTATTTTACCGATTTGTATTTTTTTTAAGCAACGGAAGAAAAAAATTATTCATTACGCGTGGAAAGTGGGGGGGGGGGGGGGGGGCTTCGATCGTTGCAACGATTTGGGCAAAAGTGTCGCCGTCGCCGTCGCCGCAATTGGGCCGTGGAGCGAACTTGGCACTGGAATCGAACCGGCCTTGGGACCCACCCCAGTACCGACCTCGGGGCCGAGATCAGTACCGGACCCAAGGTAGCAGAATCTTTGGCGGCACCCCCCCCCCCCCCCACACTTTTTATTTTATTTATACGACGAGCAAAGAGCGACATTTCAAAAACGTCCCCGACGTCGTTTTCACCCTCGGACCGCGGCGTAGGAATTGCGCGGAGACGCGCTTGAAGGTGACTGCGGCCACGTGCGGCTTGACGAGGGATGAATCTCGATTTGAAGCTTTCGTGACTGCAGGAATCCAAACTCTTTGCTTCTCTCGGTGAAGTCGCGTAGGTTAGAAAATTAATAGATCACAACGTTTCGATTGCAACACAAGCAAAGAAATGTTCTTGCTGTGGTTTTCCCACCTGATGATGATTGCTTGTGTTGCAATCGAAACGTCGTGATTTATTTTATTTTCTACCTACGTGGCTTTACCGAAACAACCAAAGAGTTTGGGACAACGGATGAGCTGAGACACCTAGCCCGGAGCTACGGAGTGAAAGGGGGAAGTCGTTGACTTGTCTGCCGTGGAGGTGTGATGGTGAGACATCTTCTTTGTTGTTTAATGAATACCAAATTAAATCCATTAAACGCCGTCTCCCAGTGTCGGTGACTTGAAGTTTTTGTTGTCAAATTTTTTTTTCTCACCAATCGTTGAGTCGAGTCCCCCCCACCACCCCCCCCCAGGTCGTGCCGCTCTCGGGAGAGAGTCGGGGAGAGTCCTGTGGGAACCCTCGGCAGAGCGCGGCCCCCCACCACAAGCGGACACATCGCGAAGCGACCCGTCTGAGACGCCCTGGCCCCTCCGGCGACATCTGCCCCCCCCCCCCCCCCAGTCTACGCGGCGGCTGCATCGTGACGGTCGCAGGCCGGGGAGCGAACCCGGCGGCGTGGACAACGGCACGACGCGGCGTTGTCCTCACGCGGTTGGCTACGTACGGTGCAGAAGACGTTCAGCACACACACAAAACTAAGATCCCCCGTGTCGCCTTAACAGACTTTTGGGTAAGTGCTGTTAGCGAGCAGCACCTATGAAGGCCGGCACTGTGGCACACGAGGGGGTGGGTGGCCAGTACCACGCCCGGTCGTCTTTGCCTCCCAAGTGGCAATTTTTTACACATCGCGCCAGGTACTCATTTGAGGCTGAGTCGACCTAGGGGGGGGGGGCCCAGGACCGGATAGATAATTGTCACTGGTGTTGGACGTGAGCGGGAATCGAACTCGAGCCACCGGATTCGTAGCGCAGTGCGCTAACCGCTACGTCACCGCTTTTCAAAAAAGATAAAGATCCCCCATATAGCCTTAACATACTGTTGGGGCAAGTAATGTTAGCGAGTAGCACCTATAAAGTGTTCTCACCAATTACACACAACAACCGTCTTTCGCCACGAAGTGGCAGTGACATCACCACGGCGCTTGTGCCAGGCTATGTGCACGTTGAGGCCACGTGAAGTGTCGAACGCCCGCTGGCAGGTTACGGGGTAGACCCAGGTGCCACGGGTCAGCTGACTGAGATGACCGAGATGACTGGCTGATGCACCACCTGTGCCCCCTACTGTGCCAACTTGCTGTGCTTTAGCCATCCGGCGCTCCGCTCGTTGTTGGTGAAAGGTGTGACACTGTAGGTTACTTATTTGATGGAATTAAAGGGCGATTTGTGATCGCGGGCCACTGAGGCAGATTCCATCTTCTCAGCAACCCGCGACCACCACCCATCTTTGCAGCACCTCAGCTCTCCAAACCTCCGAGAGAAGGCTGCAGTAAGCCTCCTCATTCTCTGACGGGATGATGTAGACGATGAGAGTGGGCCTGTCGCTTTTTCTCAGCCAGCCTGAACACCTCCTCTGTCAGCCAGGGTCTCTGGGGAGGTCTGGACCGTGTACCCAAGGCAGCCCGTTGCAGCTACATGACCCACAATCCTAAACCTCGCCCATTTCCCCTCGATATCAGGAGGAGTAGGGGACGATGCCAACCCCAGCTGGAAGTGATGATGAAATTCTCGCTTGTTACTTTCATCAGCTCGCTGAGACCATATCACTATGGGTTTGAATTGGGTCCTGGGTGAACACCTACCACCGGAGTGGAAGAATGGCAGGCGCATCTTACAGATGACAAGTCGATGGTCAGTGGGCAGATCAGCTCCACGGAAGGTCCTGGTGTCAAGGACATGGGCCGCATCCGCTGGTCTGTAACTATGTAGTCCAGCAGCTGTTCTTGCTTGGACCCAGCATGCATCCATGATTTTGTGTGGATGTGCCGATGCCGGAACAGCGTGTTCGTAATTACAAGCCCATGGGCTGCACAAACATGTAGCAGCCTCCTACTGTTGTTATTGAGCTGATATGGCCCGTGCCTTCCAATCCCAAATGGGGTTTGGCCAGGAGACGTCATGGACGCCTGTCCCCCCCGGGGCCTCCGGCACAAGCTTCATTCGATGTTTATTCCGTGGTTTCGTGGTACTTGCATTGAAGGTGGGGAGGGGTCACCAGCCCCTCACACCCGTCCAGAGCCCCCTTTGGCCGCGGTGGTGGCTACAAACACCATGAGGGGAATGGACAATCTAAGTTTGTCCTCCCCCCATGGCACTGCTCACCACAGCGGTGCCGTCCGGCACCAACGAGGAGGTAGGGGGTTGTTTTGTCAGACAATTACAAAAGACAAAGATCCCCCGTGTAGCCTGTGACATACTGTAGGGGCAAGTGCTGTTAGCGAGTACCTCAGACAATTACACATACACACACGTGTTGTATTTTTTCATCAGTTTTTTCTCCGCATTTATTGAACACCATGCCAAGTTAGTGGGACAACTTCCGTCACGAATGGACGTCGCTCGTGTCAAACTTCTCGCGAAGGGGATGGCACCGCCACCCTCCCGTAGGGACGGTCGCCACCGCGGAGATGGAGCCGGCGAGCCCAGCCGAGTGTCGGGGGCCTCTGATGGATCGCCGCATCGCGGGATCCATCAGTGGACTCGTCGCGGATAATGATGGTGTCGTTCACCGCCCGCACGCACAGAAATCCTCCACCACCAACTTCCATCACCACCACCACCTTGACCACCATCGCTTTCTCCTCCTGCCGCACAACTTCAACCACCACCGTCATCACCACCAACATCATTATCGACTCCCAATTCCACAACCAACAACCACCTCTTCAAACATTTCCACCACCTTCACCACCACCACGACCACCATCACCACTATGTTAACCACCACCACCACACCTCCTCCTACACCATCGACTCCAACTCCACCACCACCACCACCACGTCACCCGTCCATCCACGCTGCGTCCATCAGCGCCCAGCTTGTGGGCCGTGCCCCTTTGCGCTGAGCCGTCACCGAGCAGGTGATGGTGATGATGGTGAGGGTCGTGGTGATGGTGGTGATGATGATGGTGGCGGAGGGTTGAGCCTCGCCGCCTGCACGCCGCTACACGATGCTGCACTGGCGCTGGGTGCGGCTGATCTTCTGCACGTCTTCTCCCTGCACGGCGCAGCGGATCACGGCTATCACCTGCGGAGGTCACGGCGCGCGTGCTGGGTCAGTTCGCGCGCGCGGTGTCGTGAGAGAGCGCGCGCTCCGAACAGAGGCATCTGCGTTCATCCGCTGTGTGTGTGTGGGGGGGGGGGGGTGCCCTTCAGAGCCGGCTGCTCGCGAGAGACGCAACCGCTGACGGAGTGAAAACTCATTGCTCCAAGACTCATTGCTCCAAGACTCATGGCTCCAAGACTCATGGCTCCAAGACTCATTGCTGCAAGACTCATGGCTCCAAGACTCATGGCTCCAAGACTCATTGCTGCAAGACTCATGGCTCCAAGACTCATTGCTGCAAGACTCATTGCTCCAAGACTCATTGCTGCAAGACTCATGGCTCCAAGACTCATGGCTCCAAGACTCATGGCTCCAAGACTCATGGCTCCAAGACTCATTGCTGCAAGACTCATTGCTCCAAGACTCATTGCTGCAAGACTCATGGCTCCAAGACTCATGGCTCCCAGACTCATTGCTCCAAGAACTGCTTTGGGTGCGCTCAGTTTGCTGTTCCGTCCACCCCTCCGCCCGCACCTCCCATGGGCACGGTTGGCTACGTACGGTGCGAAGGAAGGCTCAACGTGCGTACATCCACAGTGGTGCTCGCGCAATTGCGTTCGGTTCACACACGGCGCGTCCATCTGTCAAGCTGCGTCAGCTCCAAGGCTCCCCCTAAATCACGTGTGGACACCCCTAAATCACGTGTGGACACCCCCCCCCCCCGCACTCTGAATCGCTCCCACTTCCATCTGTGCTGCGTGTGACTTTTCTCTCTGGAGACGTCGTCACGACCACGGCTACAGCCCTCTAGGTGCAGCGGTCGCCAACCCCAACAATAAGTAAGAAGCAGAGACATTTGCTTTTTTCTTTCGACTTGGCTTGAAAATTCAAACACAAAGTGCACGTGAATGAGAGAGAGACACCGTCTCGCCATGCAGTTCCTGGAGTTTGTGTGCGGAGATTCACTTCGTCTTTCAATCCTTACCACTCCTCTCTCTCTGTGTATGTGACACCTATGTCATCAACATGTACAGTGTATATTTGTGTGTAGTCCATAATATCGGTTGTTTTGGTCGTTAAACCCGCCACCCCTCGACACAGACGATTACGAGTGTTGTATCACGTGACACAAGACGAGTGCAGCAGCAGCACCGGTCGTGTGTGAGAGAGTAAACCCACTGCAACATGGACAAATCCGAGTACGACGTTTCGCCAGTAATCACAACGAGCATCATTAGGCAAAAAACCTCCTACGTGTTAAACAGAACTTTTTTTTAAAGAATAGGTTTTACCCTTTCTGCCAATACAAGAGTGGTGTTAAGATGTTCAAACACCAAATGGAAACCTTTTTGCAAGGAATCAAGTTCTGCATTCACCACACGCGCTACTTTGTGGTGAACATGCAAACTCACATGCGCTGATTAATACATGCCCTTGTCTCCGAGACTGACTGGCCCCCACCAGGGGGAGACTGACTGGCCCCCACCAGGGGGAGACTGACTGGCCCCCACCAGGGGGAGACTGACTGGCCCCCACCAGGGGGAGACTGACTGGCCCCCACCAGGGGGAGACTGACTGGCCCCCACCAGGGGGAGACTGACTGGCCCCCACCAGGGGGAGACTGACTGGCCCCCACCAGGGGGAGACTGACTGGCCCCCACCAGGGGGAGACTGACTGGCCCCCACCAGGGGGAGACTGACTGGCCCCCACCAGGGGGAGACTGACTGGCCCCCACCAGGGGGAGACTGACTGGCCCCCACCAGGGGGAGACTGACTGGCCCCCACCAGGGGGAGACTGACTGGCCCCCACCAGGGGGAGACTGACTGGCCCCCACCAGGGGGAGACTGACTGGCCCCCACCAGGGGGAGACTGACTGGCCCCCACCAGGGGGAGACTGACTGGCCCCCACCAGGGGGAGACTGACTGGCCCCCACCAGGGGGAGACTGACTGGCCCCCACCAGGGGGAGACTGACTGGCCCCCACCAGGGGGAGACTGACTGGCCCCCACCAGGGGGAGACTGACTGGCCCCCACCAGGGGGAGACTGACTGGCCCCCACCAGGGGGAGACTGACTGGCCCCCACCAGGGGGAGACTGACTGGCCCCCACCAGGGGGAGACTGACTGGCCCCCACCAGGGGGAGACTGACTGGCCCCCACCAGGGGGAGACTGACTGGCCCCCACCAGGGGGAGACTGACTGGCCCCCACCAGGGGGAGACTGACTGGCCCCCACCAGGGGGAGACTGACTGGCCCCCACCAGGGGGAGACTGACTGGCCCCCACCAGGGGGAGACTGACTGGCCCCCACCAGGGGGAGACTGACTGGCCCCCACCAGGGGGAGACTGACTGGCCCCCACCAGGGGGAGACTGACTGGCCCCCACCAGGGGGAGACTGACTGGCCCCCACCAGGGGAGACTGACTGGCCCCCACCAGGGGGAGACTGACTGGCCTCCCCACCAGGGGGAGACTGACTGGCCCCCACCAGGGGGAGACTGACTGGCCCCCACCAGGGGGAGACTGACTGGCCCCCACCAGGGGGAGACTGACTGGCCCCCACCAGGGGGAGACTGACTGGCCCCCACCAGGGGGAGACTGACTGGCCCCCACCAGGGGGAGACTGACTGGCCCCCACCAGGGGGAGACTGACTGGCCCCCACCAGGGGGAGACTGACTGGCCCCCACCAGGGGGAGACTGACTGGCCCCCACCAGGGGGAGACTGACTGGCCCCCACCAGGGGGAGACTGACTGGCCCCTACCAGGGGGAGACTGACTGGCCCCCACCAGGGGGAGACTGACCTGGCCCCCACCAGGGGGAGACTGACTGCCCCCACCAGGGGGAGACTGACTGGCCCCCACCAGGGGGAGACTGACTGGCCCCCACCAGGGGGAGACTGACTGGCCCCCCACCAGGGGAGACTGGCTGGCCCCCACCAGGGGGAGACTGACTGGCCCCCACCAGGGGGAGACTGACTGGCCCCCACCAGGGGGAGACTGACTGGCCTCCCCACCAGGGGGAGACTGACTGCCTCCCCACCAGGGGAGACTGACTGGCCCCCACCAGGGGGAGACTGACTGGCCCCCACCAGGGGGAGACTGACTGGCCCCCACCAGGGGGAGACTGACTGGCCCCCACCAGGGGGAGACTGACTGGCCCCCACCAGGGGGAGACTGACTGGCCTCCCCACCAGGGGGAGACTGACTGGCCTCCCACCAGGGGGAGACTGACTGGCCCCCACCAGGGGGAGACTGACTGGCCCCCACCAGGGGGAGACTGACTGGCCCCCACCAGGGGGAGACTGACTGGCCCCCACCAGGGGGAGACTGACTGGCCCCCACCAGGGGGAGACTGACTGGCCCCCACCAGGGGGAGACTGACTGGCCCCCACCAGGGGGAGACTGACTGGCCCCCACCAGGGGGAGACTGACTGGCCCCCACCAGGGGGAGACTGACTGGCCCCCCACCAGGGGGAGACTGACTGGCCCCCACCAGGGGGAGACTGACTGGCCCCCCACCAGGGGGAGACTGACTGGCCCCCACCAGGGGGAGACTGACTGGCCCCCACCAGGGGGAGACTGACTGGCCCCCACCAGGGGGAGACTGACTGGCCCCCACCAGGGGGAGACTGACTGGCCCCCACCAGGGGGAGACTGACTGGCCCCCACCAGGGGGAGACTGACTGGCCCCCACCAGGGGGAGACTGACTGGCCCCCACCAGGGGGAGACTGACTGGCCCCCACCAGGGGGAGACTGACTGGCCCCCACCAGGGGGAGACTGACTGGCCTCCCCACCAGGGGGAGACTGACTGGCCTCCCCACCAGGGGGAGACTGACTGGCCCCCACCAGGGGGAGACTGACTGGCCCCCACCAGGGGGAGACTGACTGGCCCCCACCAGGGGGAGACTGACTGGCCCCCACCAGGGGGGACTGACTGGCCCCCACCAGGGGGAGACTGACTGGCCCCCACCAGGGGAGACTGACTGGCCTCCCCACCAGGGGGAGACTGACTGGCCTCCCCACCAGGGGAGACTGACTGGCCCCCACCAGGGGGAGACTGACTGGCCCCCACCAGGGGAGACTGACTGGCCCCCACCAGGGGGAGACTGACTGGCCCCCACCAGGGGGAGACTGACTGGCCCCCACCAGGGGGAGACTGACTGGCCCCCACCAGGGGGAGACTGACTGGCCCCCACCAGGGGGACTGACTGGCCCCCACCAGGGGGACTGACTGGCCCCCACCGGGGGAGACTGACTGGCCCCCACCAGGGGGAGACTGACTGGCCCCCACCAGGGGGAGACTGACTGGCCCCCACCAGGGGGAGACTGACTGGCCCCCACCAGGGGAGACTGACTGGCCCCCCAGGGGAGACTGACTGGCCCCCACCAGGGGGAGACTGACTGGCCTCCCCACCAGGGGGAGACTGACTGGCCTCCCCACCAGGGGGAGACTGACTGGCCCCCACCAGGGGGAGACTGACTGGCCCCCACCAGGGGGAGACTGACTGGCCCCCACCAGGGGAGACTGACTGGCCCCCACCAGGGGGAGACTGACTGGCCCCCACCAGGGGAGACTGACTGGCCCCCACCAGGGGGAGACTGACTGGCCCCCCCAGGGGGAGACTGACTGGCCCCCACCAGGGGGAGACTGACTGGCCCCCACCAGGGGGAGACTGACTGGCCCCCACCAGGGGGAGACTGACTGGCCTCCCCACCAGGGGGAGACTGACTGGCCCCCCACCAGGGGGAGACTGACTGGCCCCCACCAGGGGGAGACTGACTGGCCCCCACCAGGGGGAGACTGACTGGCCCCCACCAGGGGGAGACTGAATGGCCCCCACCAGGGGGAGACTGACTGGCCCCCACCAGGGGGAGACTGACTGGCCCCCACCAGGGGGAGACTGACTGGCCTCCCCACCAGGGGGAGACTGACTGGCCCCCACCAGGGGGAGACTGACTGGCCCCCACCAGGGGGAGACT